TTCGTATTGCTTTAATAAATGACCGAACAAACTAACTGCTCGTACTGACAACAGCAAAAATATCTTTGATAGAAGAGAAAAATGCAATGGAAGAAATAATTCATAGCGCAAAGTGCAATAAAATATTTCTCAAACCGATTGCAATTATGAGGTAGTAACAATCTTTGATGGGTAAAGCTCCATAATATTGTTCCAGTATTGGTATTGTTGTCCCTCCTGCAACATACAATGCAGCATTCATCAGTCGGAATCAATGAGACTTCCAAACTTGTGAAAAGAGTTTTTCCTTATAATGTGTGAGTTGCATATGCAAATGGATATCAAGCACACTAATAAATCGCAACAATCTCGCAGGTTTTGCATCAGATTGCAGAGCTGAACACAGGTTAACAGCACTTGATAAATTCCTCATGAATTTCCGAATGGAAATCTCAAAATTGCATAGAAACGAAAACCATCCACGCAGCAAAGAATCTGGGGTAGCATACGGACTCCTACCATTCAAACTTTTTTATATTGATCGCATATGAGCTCCTGACCCACACCTTCCAAGTGTCTACGATAATGCCAATTCTTAATAAATTTTGAAGAAACAGTGCTATCACACGGTGTAATTACTCTTTGTTGAAGTTAATAATAATTTCGTTTTAAGTGCTTGCAATGTTGTGTCGGATAGATTTTTGTTCGAATATGAGCGCGCGTTATTATGCAATATAATGAAGATGCGCGATGTGGATATAGAGTGTAGACAGGCAGGAGATTATGGTGTTCAAATCAATGAATATTGAAAAGAATGAATGAATAAACTGAGATGAGTATACAAGCCAAATGGTCAATATGTAACGTGTAAAGTTTGTTTGTCAACAATTTAAAGGAACCAACGTATCGATACAGAGTATAACGATATGATATAATTTGTTCGATGACTTTCACTGTGGTCATGAGTTCGCCGCTGGTTGGATTTGCGTTTGTCCTTATTGTCCAAGTGGCCGTTGATATAGTTTGAGTGCAGTCGCTTGAGTCGATTGAATAATTGTTCGGTTGGAAAAGGTAGTGGAAAGGATTAAGGAGTTGACGGTTTGAGTTTAGGTTTGTGGAATTTAGACGACTTTGACGTTAGTCGATCCTATCTTGTTGAATCGTTGTATTTTTACACAACGAGATGGTTTTGACGTCTTCCAATTTCAGTTGAATGGTACAAATTATTCCGATAACTTTATGGATATGATTACCAGTCGGAGATCGGCTACTTGAACTTTTATCGTGGTTCGCTACCAATAATCTTTCAGTTTCTTTGATTCTAGCACCGATCTCGAACTTGGGTGATTAAACCGATATTACATAACGCAATGAATGCGAATCGCGAGACATTTATATAACGTGATTGGACTAACAAATTTTGATGAGTTACACAATTGTAGTTAAAGACTCGACATCTACACTGATATCAGTAAGTGAGAGTTTAAGGTTTAAGGTGGTCATAAGGATTTGAGAGTTAAGATTTAATAGTTGTTGAAGATTTAAGTGAACGGCATGATCGTTGTTGCTCCGAATAAGCGGAGCAACCGTCTGTAGATTGCATGATTGTTGTAAGTGACAGAGGATGAACATGATATTATTTTGTGAATTTGTATGAGAAGCGTTGTAGCCTTTTTGTGAGTGTTTGTGAATTCTTTGTTGCAACGCCTGCAACGCAGCTTATTTAAGCGTGTATTCAAAGATGTGCTTCTTTTATGCTTTGAGATGTAGCATCGATACGGCTACAACAGAGACTGATTTGCATATTATATATTTAGGTTAACAATTTGTAAACGATATATGTGAATATTTAGATTTGTTAATGTAGGATTACTGTGAACGGAAATGTTTTGTGAAGTGCTTTGTTTGTTGTTCATACTGTTGCATCTTCCTCGCGACTATCTGATAATCGCGACACACGCTGAAAATCCTTAGGTTTCATTTAATTACATGTAACAAACTGTCACAACTGAGATTGATAACCTCTTATGTAGGCGGGTGGAGGCGATGTCTGATCAGAATGAACAAATCTGTAACCGCTCTCAACTTCAGTGCTGTACAAGCGATCAATCTCCGAACCACTGAAATAATACCACGATGCGTCTCGTGGAAAGTACGCATAAGTCTCATTCGCACCCTGCAACGCAAAATATCAAATTCCGAAAATCAGTTGCCAGTGAACTCATTCGTTCACCTATCAAAAGTAATTTCTTCGGTGATCGAGGGTAGAGACGCATTATCAGCGTTCCCATTTCATTGGATTCTTCGCATCGTCACAATTACTTTCAAAATGGAAATGCGCCAAGTGTAGATAAGTAGTACCATCGAGAGAACCGGAGTGAACAATAATGCCGGTCCCAACATGAACTGCTGATAAGTGAGACGAGCAGCGTCATCGTTTGGAAATTCAAAGAACAACGGTCGTATGACAGTACCACCAGAACGTGCTGCTTCGAAAAATAGTCTAAAAATGGTTGCCGAGTAAGCAGTTGAGATCGCACTGAAGTTATCAGATGGATGAACTGGGTTTGGAGGAAGTAAAGCAGCGAAAAATTTTCGATATGTTGTTGGAAACTGTATGCATGTCTTAGGAGGAATGAATGAATCAAATTCGTCAGTAAAGCAGTTGCGTTTAAAAAGACTGTGAGCAGTTCATAACTCGAAATAGGTTTCGCTGCAACGAAGGACTGAAAACATCTTATTTCGCTGTTTTGAAATAGCGTTCGTTACATTTGAATGGTAAAAAAGGGGACCGACGGTCAATGTTCTTGTGTCTGAGATTAGGATTCACAGAGGTTTGGCTCAGCTGATTTCAGCGCTCGTGGATGACCTTTTAACAGAAGCGAAATGCATTTAATGAAAACGTAACCAACTCACGTGTACATATATGGTGAGTTGCGCTTTCTGAAGAGACTGAATATGAGGTTGAGCTTTGGATCTATTGTAGGCATCGAGTACTGGTCTTTTCGAATCCTAAACATCAATCGCAAGCCTTACTTCTTCAAGCATTCTGAGTTTTGGATTGAGTGTTCGGCGAGCGGTCTTATCCCAAAAGGTGCTTGTGGTATGATGCGAAAACAGCAATATAGCAACTGCTTCGGTAAATTTTTCAGCGATAGTCAATAATTTCATTGGAAAGATGAAATGTGCAACAGCACGATTGAAAACAATGTTCTTATGTGAATAATAGAACCCGGGTGGAACCAGGAAGGTGCCTGAGCAAAACTTTAAGAAACAAACAATGATAAGGGGTATGATAGGCCGAGCTGAAGCCATCTGTTATTCAGTTCATCCCACCAATTTGGCGTCACAGAACTGCACACATCGGCACCAACGAATGGTATGCCGAACATATTGAACTCTTGGATTGCAGTCACTGATCGTGCCATGGCGCTGAACGAATACGGGGTGTAGCCGAGTGCATGTGCGGCGTAGCGACCACCAGACGGGAACATAGACCTTAACTTAATGAAGTGAAGGTGCTTTCAAAGGGAATAACAATTCGAGGAAACACATGAAAGGAAAATCCGACGTAACTAAAGAACAGCGATGAGTGAGAATTTGCAGAATTCCATTGATTAAATTGCGTTTTGTGAAATTTGAAGGAACAATAGCTGGAGCAGTCGACAAAAAATGATAAACTGATG